AGGCAGATTATTATTTGAATGGCTTTAAATTGAGAGGAATGTTCAATGAGACCCGACTGTCTTCCTGCACCAGTCACTAAAAGTAAGCATGGGCAGCACAGTGGTTAGCGCTGCTGCCTCACAGTGCCAGGGACCTGGGTTCAATTCCACCCTTGGGTCTCCGTCTGTGTGGAGTTTGCACATTCTCCCTGTGTCTGTGTGGGTTTCCTCCCACAGTCCAAAGATGTACAGGCTAGGTGAATTGGCCATCCTAAATTGCCTGTAGGGTCCCAGGAAGTGTAGATTAGGTGGGTTATAAGGGGATGGGTCTGGGTGGGATACTCTGAGAATCGGTGTGGACTTGTTGCACTGAAAGGACAGTTTCACACTGTCAGGATTCTATGAAATGCAGAAGGCAAACTAAATGTTGGCCTTCATAGTGAGAGGATGAAAGTACAGGAACAAGGATGACTTGCTACTATTGGTGAGGCCACACCTAGAATACTACATGCAGTTTTGGTCTCCTGATCCGAGGAAGGAAGTTTTTGCTTCAGAGGCAGTGCAGTGAAAGTTTACCAACTGAATACCTCGGAAGGTAGGAGAGATTGAGTCAATTGGAATTGTATTCACTGCAGTCTAGAAACCCAGTGTCGCATGTGTAAGTGAGTGGGTCATATTACCCAAAACTGCCAGGTACAACCCAAACAAGAGAAGGGGAGTTAGAAAGAAACAACCCTGAGGACAAGGCATCAGGGTTACGCAGCCAGCCAGAGAGCAGACAGGAAGTCAGCGAGGTCTGCAAAAAATTCCGAAAGCTCAGAGTGAGCAGAGTTTTGGTTAAAACATACTGGTGGAACAGGGTGAAACTGATCATTTCTGGGTTCTTCCCAAAGTAGAGGGAAGACAGCAAAAATAGGAGTGCATACGGGCACAGTGGTGATGTCCCTGATGTCCAAATCTGTCCATAGGGAAAAGTTGAGGGCACTACCATTGAAGTCTTCCCAGATTATACTGTGGGCATACATGGAACAAGTGGTGCCACTGAAGGACTATGCACTGGTGACAGTGAAGGATCCAGTGTGCAGGATTATCCCTTTGTCGTAAAAGACCAATACACTGCATTATTCAGACGCTCTGCGTTACAGAAATTAAAGTGTGGTTAATAGGCTGACGGACTCAAATAGGGGTTTGTAAGAGACCCTGGACAAGTACTAAGATGTCTTCAAAAGGATCTTGGGGGGAAAATGAAAGGAGTTGGAATTTAATTACAACCAAAGCCAGAGACTCATCTTAGGAGCGTGTGAAGGGTCCGAAGCCATATGCCACCCAGCCTAAAGTGGAGGTGGAACTGGAGCAGATGCTGAACCTGGGTGCATAGGAACCAGTAACCACCAGTGAATGGGCCACTCCCATCATTCCAATCTTGAAAACAAGTGGCACGGTGAGGATTAATGGTGACTTTAAGGTCACAGTCAACCCCACCCTGAGTGTGGATCAATACCCTCTTCCACTCAGAAGACCTAGTCAGTGGACTGGCAGGGGGAAAGAAATTTTCAAAAATGGATCTGTTGCAGGCCTACCTACACATGGCGGTTGCAAAGGAATCTCAGCCGCTGCTGACAATGGTGACACTAAAAGGACTTCTTCGCGACTTCCTTTTGGCATCACATCAGCACCAGCTCTGTTCCTGAGGGCCATGGACCAAATATTCAGTCGGTTGCTGGGAGTCCAGAGTTGTCTGGATGATATTTTGAACACTGGATCATTGAAGAGGAGCATTTGAAAAATTTAGAAGGCCCCCTAAAAAGACTGCAAAAGCACAGCCGACAAGCAAAAAGAGAGAAATGAGTTTTGTAAAGACTGTATATAGTACCTGGGGCTTGTAATCGATGGCAAAGGACTGCACAAGTCACCCAAGAAGCTGGAGGCTATCATGAAGGCCCCTAGACCAGAGAATGTGTCCCAGCTGAGATCGTTCTTGGGACTTGCAAACTGCAATGTCCACTTCAAGTGGCCTGAGGTGGTGGTCATCTTGGTATCTGCAGAAGAAATGATAGACTGACAGGATGAAATATTAGAGATAGTAGGAACCGCAGATGCTGGTGAATCCGAGACAACAACGTGCAGGGCTGGATGAACACAGCAGGTCAAGCAGCATCATAGGTGCAGAGAGGCTGACGTTTCGGGCCGAGACCCTTCATCAGAAAAGGGGGAGGGGAAGGGGGTTCTGAAATAAATAGGGAGAGAGTGGGAGGCGGATAGAAGATGGATAGAGGAGAGGATAGGTGGAGAGGA